AAAGCAAGATCATATGTTCCCATGGAGCCTATCAGGCAGGGAGGTGTTTTGGAAACGTCTGGAAAGATTTACCATAGAGGAGGAAGGGACCCATAGTGAACCAGGCGTCCTCAGTTTTGTTGGCTGGCTGATGGCCTCTGCTCTGACTTGGTGATGCTACCCCCTGGTGGCCCTGGCAGAACTGACAACACGGGAAAACCTATGGGTAGTCACTGACACCACTGTCAAGTTATTGAAGGGGAAACTGAGGCACAGAGAGGGGAAATAGCCTGTCCAGAATGAGTTTTCCTTCAAGGGGGCTGGGAGACTTCACGGGCTCTTGGGGTTATGCCTAGGTAGCCTAAAATCTCCCCACTGTGGGCTGAGCTGCCCTCGACACTCTGAGAGCTCTTCTCACGTGTTCAGCACTCAGGGGCCAACAAAGGAATACAGTGAGGGATGGAACGGTGGGAGCGGGAGAGAGAAAGCAAGAGGGTGGAAAGGAGGAGACAGTAGTGCTAAGAGAGAGAGGGAAGGGGAGGAAGGTGCATGAATCAATGAGTGAGCGATAGAGTGAGGGAGTGAATAGTGGGCCATGACTGCACTGGGGTGGTGGAGGGAGTGGGCATCTGGCCCACTCACTAGGCTCTGCTCAAACCCATGATAATCAGGGAAGTTTCCATAATCAGATGAGATTTGAAAGGTTTGTGGTCAGTGATCCACACTCCTTCAGGCACAGGGGCTTGGTGCCCTCTCCTCTGCCCAGAGGGCAGGGCCAAATGCTCACCAGCGCGTAACAGGCAGCAGGCAACAGGCGCTTGGCTAGCAGGCTGGTGTGTGTTCCTGTCTGGGCCCGGTCCAAGGAGGGTGGAAGGTTCCACGGGCTACTGTGCGAGTGAGCACCACCCTTCCTGCGGGGCTACGGCTTTGTCTCTAGGGTGGTTGGTCTGTACAGAGCTGCTGTGTTCAGACTCTCCACCTTGGTCTCCTCAAGCACCCATTTTCTAAGTTCACCTGGCCCCCACACATCACTCCCAGGAACCTTAGGGCAGCCCACTCTAGGCTCCTCCAGGTTGCCCTCCCGGCCACATCCTCCTGGTCTCTGTCTCCAGCCTCCCTGCCTATGGACGTCACATGCTTCCCTGACAACTGACAGTCTTCACAGCTCCTGACTTGCATCAGGTGCTGTGGGCAGCCTCAAGCCCTCAGCCCTGTGTTCCCCCTCACTATTTGGGGGTGAGACTGGCCCAGGGCAATGCGGGACAGACTGCACATAGGAAGAAAAGAGCTGCTTATTGATAGGTAAAAAGTTGGCAGAGAGTGAGCGAATGGAGGATGAGACACCGAGGCACAGCTAAAACTCCATCAAAATAGGGTTTATTAGCAAAGGAACATATGGAACAGATTCCCTTCCAGGCAGGGAAAATGTCTGCCGGGGTCTTGAGCTGGGGTCTTTTTAAAAAGGGAGGCAGAAGGTGGGAAGACGTATTTTTTTTTTAAGTTGGGTGGGGGGAAGTGGGAGAGCGGGACTCTTAAAACCTGTTCTCTTTAGAGATCAAAGGGGAAGCCTGCTGTGTTGGCCAAACAGTGGAGAAAAGTCTGCTTCTCCTAACTTCAAAGACCAAGGTGCTTATCAGCTAGGTTCCCTTTTCTCAGGAGCATGAGAAGTCCTTGGGATCCTGCTGGTGAGGGGGCAGGGCTATCTGAAACTGAACACTTATTTGTTACTCAAGGGCAGTGAAAGACATCAAAGCAGAATTTTGAGGTTTTGAGATAGGACTTCATGTAGCCCAGGCTGGTCTTGAATTTTATATGTAGCCAAGGATAACCTTGAACTCCTGATTCTCCTGCCTCTGCCTCTCAAGTGTTGGGATTACAGGTGTGAGCTTCCACACCCAGCTGAAAAAATGGAGTTAATTAAGTTCACCAAGGGCTAGAAAGATGGCTCAGCAGTTAAGAGCACTTGCTGCTCTTTCAGAAGACCCAGGTTCCAATCCCAACACCCACATGGCAGCTAACAACCATCCCTAACTTCAGTTCCAGGCAATTGGACATCACCTCCGTGGGCACTGTGCAACACTGATGAACCTACCTACATGCAGCCAACACACTCAAACACATAAAAAATAAAAATAATAAAATATTTAAAAGTCCATCAAAGTGGGGATTCAGCTCAGTGGTAGGAAGCACAAATTCCTGTGTTCAGCTCCCAGCATCCAAAATACACACACACACACACACACACACACACACACACAAGGGGGGAGGAGGGCGAGGGGAGGAAGGGGAGCAGGGGAGGAGGAGAGGAAGAGGATGGGGAGGAGGAGGGAGAGGAGGAGGAGGAGGAGGAATTTGCACCTGGTTGAAGAGGTGGCCACAGGCCACTGGAGACCCTTTTGGTGGGACACAGGCTTCCTTCCACTGGTTTAACATATCATAACATGTGGATCAGACACCGTAAGATGGTCCTGTGGACAGAGGACAAGGCTGAAGTGTGCTTAGTGGGTGAGTGTCCTGCAGGCCTAGGACCATGGCCCTAAGGTTAGGTCCAGAGGACCCCAGCTCTTGATACCTCTGCCTGACTCACACCTGAAGGCCAGAGACTGGAAAGGCATCGAATGGAGCCCACAGGAGCCTTCACCTGCACAGTGGGTGGCTGTGATCTCACCCCCGTCTGTCTGATTCCAGCCCACCTTGTCTCATCGATGGGAACACTTTCTGGAATCTTTTGTCTTTCTTGATCATTGAATAGTTATAAGTAAAATAAACCCCACCGGCATTTCCTCTGTTTAGACCCCATCTCCTTCCATCCTCAGTTTCTATCCTCAGGTTTATGACAGAAAGGAGGGTCCTCAAAGGTAAGGGCCACTCGGGGGTCCCCGGGGCCGGCTGGCTGGCTGCCTTCCCCACAGAGATTGCTGGGGCCATGCAGTCAACCCAGGAGTCCAGTGATACTGTTTTTCTGGGGTGCTGGAGGCAATGCTGTCTTGGGGGCGATGTCAAAACCCCGGGGCTGCTGGTGGGAGAGGGGCTAAGATAGACCTGCAGGTGGGGGCTCTTGGAGAGGGCATCTGGGGTCTGTGGAGGAAGGATGGAGGGCCCAGCCCAGAGTGGGAGTAGGTAGGAGTTCTAGAACAGACAGGGCATCCCACCCCTCAGCCCACACTGGACTTGTGGACAGGCATCAGGGTGGACTTGTGATGGCTAATCCTGGGTGTCAATTTGACTGGATCTGGGATTAACTGAAATGAAAGAGATCTTCTTAATTGGATTATCTGAAACTGGAAGACACACCCTAAATGTGGGTGTTACCTTCTGATGGCAGCTGGTTAAAAAGGCCAAGGCAGAGGAGAACGCCTGGCTTCTTGCTGCTTGCCTTCTCTCTCGCTGGTGAGTTCGTCTTGCTGCTGTAGACTGAAGACTAGCTGATCTTTTGGAATTCGTCAGACCTTCAGTGCCAGATTGGGACTACTGAGACATCCAGCCTCATGGACTGAGCGACTACAGATTCTCAGCCTCTCCAGTGTGGTGCAGCCATTGTTGGACTACTCGGACTCTATCCAGTGAGCTAAGCTCGCTGTTCTCACGGTTCTGTTTCTTTGGAGAACCCCGACTAATATAACAGCTGTTTGCTTTTACTCTGTCAAAGGTAGTACAACCTCAAGGCCCCACAACCTGCTTCTCCTGGCCTCTTTACTGCCCCAACTTTAAGCTTAGAGTCCCTGACCTTGGTCCTTGTGTTCTAATACCTAACCCTCCTGTCTCAGGTTTGGCCCTCCAACAGGAAAAATGTCTACCTGTGAGGTAAAATTGCCTTATTTAAGAAGGAGGTTGAGAGGCTGGGGAGATGGCTCAGGGATAAAGCATTCCCTGCACAAATATGCAGAATCTGGGTCCTCAATGCACACATAAAAGCCGGGGCAGGAGGAGAAGCATGGCCTGCCTGTAAGTCCTCCCTGCTTGGGGCAGAAACAGGGGTCCCTGGAGCAAGCTGGCTAGCTAGACTGACCAAATCAATGAGCTCTGGATTCAGTGAGACACCCTGCCTCAGTAAATAAAGTGAGAGAGAGAAATCAAAGAAGATATCGGTTGTCAGCCTCTGGTCTCCATACACGAGTGCACACATGTTGCTCACACACATGCATAATACACACCACACACATACACAGGCAAAGAAAAAACAAAATGAAAAGGAGTTGAAAACTGCTACAAAGGGAGTTTGAAGCCAGTCTGCGCGATGTCAGATCTTGTCTCAAGAAACAAACAGCAGGGGCTGGAGAGGTGGCTCAGCGGTTAGAACACTGGAGGCTGGAGAGGTGGCTCAGCGGTTACAACACTGGAGGCTGGAGAGGTGGCTCAGCGGTTAGAACACTGGAGGCTGGAGAGATGGCTCAGCGGTTAGAACACTGGAGGCTGGAGAAGAAGACCCTGGTTCAAATCCCAGCACCCACATGGCAGCTAACAACTGTCCATAACTCCAGTTCCAGGGGATCT